TGGTCCGTCCATTCTTTAAAAAAACAACGGGCCAATCCTCTGACCACATGTACAGGTACACACCACGGGAACTAGCGAAGAGGTCCACTATATTCTGGACAGCTGGATCTTTAGGAACCATGTTTTCTGGATTCTTGCAAACGGCAGCGTACAATAACCTTAACGGCGTTCACGGATTAGCTGGATGGCGGTGCGATAATTTCTTATGCTTCCGTTTCCGCCTCTAAAAACCCTCGACCCCAGATGGCTTATGATTGTAGATGCTGTCGTGTATGTACTGCATGCGATTCGACGTTATCGAAAACTGAACAAATCGGTTCAGCACCATTCCCATCGCCATATTTGGGTTCATTTTCCTTCCTAATCTGCCATGGGCGGCCAAACCATCTCTACTTCTCACTGAACAGGTCCGGGTCTCAGCCTAAAATTGCAACGTACTAAACAAATTGATATTGCAGGACATTGCGCTCGCGCGCGCCCGAATGAAAGCAATTGGGAGGAAGGAGAGTGAGCCGTGGAGTAAAGCAAAGGTACGTTCACTGTCTGCAACACGCACGGCCGGGCTCAGCATGTCGTTATCTAGCTTCGCAAGATACTCACTGGTTGGTATATCTGGATCCTCCCGATTGAATATGTCCTCTGGAACAACGGCGGTGCTCAGACGCCCATTCAATTCTGGCTCAAAAGTTTCAACATCGAGCCATATCCCGTCCCAGGAACACACTATACCGTCTCTCAAATCCAATTACGTTCGTGCATTTGCATTGCGAACACATATTTCCCGTTGACATGCGGTCATCATCCAGTTCCTCTCCCTGCGACCGCCATTTTCGTCGTCACCGCATTAATTCTGGCGTGGATCAGCGATGGGCCCGCCAAAGGTACGCAATTCCATCCCCTCCACCCAAATTAAACAATGATTGTGATCAACAGGCCTGAGGTGGCCCTTTGTAATTGCCGGAGCAATAGTAACTCTCATATTCGATACGGTATGGCTGACGATGCCGTTGTACACCAACATCCGCGGCCATTTCGCATATTTTTATCTCATGACACTTGGTGTGAGTTCTGTTCCTGGCCGCGACAACTCCATCCTCACAATGTCACTTGTAGACCACTGCGGGCCCTTTGATCCTCAACTGGATTAGCGAAATCACTCAAGCTGACGTAGAAAAATCGTCTTCCTCTCTACTCTCCAACGTCTGAATTTCTTTTGATCTAGAACGAGCTTCGGGCGATTTGTGTTGCGTTGGGCAACGATCTGGCCTACGTAGTTCAAGCAGTCGCACCGAACTTCGTGTGGCAAACCACTGAATTTCCCCGGGCAACAAAGGGCTATCACTGGTCTATCAGTACGTCTTCTCATATCGTCCGTATGTCAGCTTTTTGGCTGATTATAATGCAGTTTTGCAATTTCTGCTGAGTATGCATAGTGCCGTTATACCGGCCGTATCACACTTACTAACCCTGCCCGCAGTCACCTGGACTTGCTTAATACTCTTCCTTCTCCGCCGTGATAGAAATAAGGCAATCGTGCGCGGCGAAGAAACGGCCACTAGTGTGGAGGTTGGAACGGTTCATGAACCAGAGGATTTTTTATCCAAAGCGTGACGCGAGTAGTAGAATATCTGAACTCATGAAATTATGACGAATGAACGTTTGAACCTGTTATGTCCGTCCCCGAATGAAATAGCCTATACTTACTTCCTTTTCTCAATCACGTCAACTTGACCGGAAGGCACAAAAATAGCGCCACCGGACCTGAACCGGCGGCCTGATTGTAAAGCTGGAAAGAATTGCGCTATTTATTGCCCGCCGTGCGACATAGAAGTTCTTATCGCAAGAACGTTTTCTGGTTCAATTCATTGGCCATATGGCGTGCTTTCATGGACGCTTTGTAACGCTAAATTCAGAGTATATAGAGGCTCGGAGTCGTGCAGATATTCTCATCGAATTCACTCATCTCCAATGGCCCCAGTTGCTACCGAAGTTAACACTGCCACCCCCGCGCACCAAGTGCTTAAGCCGGGCCCAATCCAGCCGGTGTATCCCCAGGAGGACGCGAACTTCAAGCGCCCTCCGGCAAACACTCTCCGGCGTTATGAGAAAGCGGGGATCGATATTTCGCGTATGTTTCTCGCTCAGATTGGCGTTCCATAATTTAACCCTGTTGCAGAGGGATACCCGTACCTCCCTAACAAGCCCGAATTCGTCCAGGACGTCGAGAAGCTACAGACCAACCTGCGCGACTATGTTGATCCCGGGACGAGGGCCGACCCAGAGAAGAAGGCGCTCTTTGGCGCGGCCAAGGAAGTCAAGGACCTGTCGATCCATGTCGGGGTGTGTTTTTTCTCTCGCATGGTGACCCGAACAACTGAGCTCACGAATTGCATCCAGACCGAAATCGTCGGGTTGCAACTTGCCGAGTTGAGCGATAAACAGCGGGACGAACTCGCCCTTCTTGTCGCGTACGTCGAATAACCCCACTTACTTCCGAAGGTCCTAATACATTGTCCTGTATAGCGAACGTTCCGTCGTCTGTACGTCCAGAGCCCATATTTTCTGCGTCTTGTATTGACGTCGACCATAGTCTTCCGCGATCAGGACCTCTCTCCCCAGAAGCAGAAGGAGCTGGGCGTTTACCTCGGCGACGGTGAAATCGAGATCCACCCGCAAGTCCCCCAGGTGCCCGGCGTTCCTGGGGTGACGCTCATCTGGGAGCGCGCGCGCGAATACACCCTCACGCAGCCCCGAGGATTCAGGAATGCGTATCCCTCCGGCAGCTACGGCTGTGCGTCCCGTCTATCGTGGATATCCATTTAGCTCACACAGAACTATGATTTAGGGCACACCGACCTGGTTCACCTGGCTTACCCGCCGGGATACACCCACCTCCACCAGGACACCGTCCCGGAAGTCGGCGGAGACACGCTCTGGGTGGGTTCCTTCCGATATAGGATTGAAACCGAACTGAATGTCCTCCCAGGCGTCTGGCTATTCCGCATATGACAAATTTTCGCCCGCCTTCCGCGCCATCCTCGATGGTTTGAAGTACATTTTACCATCCGCTTCCTTTGAAATCATGTTAATCATCCGGCCTTCAGTGGTATTTATCGCTCGGCGCACGCGTACAAAGACGCCAACGATCCCAGTGCTCCGGCGCGTCATGTGCAAATCGTCCACCCCTTGGTGCGTTCTCCATCACCTGAAAATGAATGGAATAAAATGCTGATGCTGGACTCTTTGGACTAGGTGCGCACGCACCCTGTGACGGGCTTCAAGACTGTCTTCGCCAACCGCTCCATGACCGTCGGCATCGAAGGGTTAGACAAGGCAGAGAGCGACGCCATCTTGAACCACATCCACGAGTTCGTATTTCCGTCTTACATATTACATAGAAACTTCATTCTAACACCGGTCCAGCGTATACGAGAAGTCCACCGATTTGCAGATCCGCTGGAAGTGGACTCCGGGGACGTCCGCGATGTACGTTGCATCTGTATTGTCCCTGTCCTGAACGTGAGACTGACTTGTTCCTAGCTGGGACAACCGCACGACGATCCATACGGTGTCGTACGACTACGAAGGCAAGGGCGAGCGCCACGGCACCAGGGTCAGTTCACTCGCGGAGAAGCCGTTCTTCGACCCCAAGTCCAAGTCGAGGCGGGAGACTTTGGGTTTGGACGCAGCGTAGTAGAACCGAATGTAAAGACTTATCAAATTCAAGAGACTTGTTGTATCAATGGAACGATCTTCTGGGGATTAAAGTCTGCGATTCTACCGTGTAGAGGGATGTCCAAATTCTGTCAAGAGACTTGCATCAATGGCACGATCTTCTGAGGATTCAAATATAATAAAATGTGCAACTCTACCGTCTAAAGAGATGTCCAGCAAACTAAATAGTCCTCAAAGACAATAAATAGAGAGAGATGAAGTCAGATCAACCCAGTGTACATTCTGTCATTCAAGATACCACCCAACTTCGTACAGTAAGATACATCCGCACACCACATCAGGATGCATATTGCAGCGTCCACTCACGGCTGACGCGCTGCGCGTCCTTCTCGTTCTCCTTGTAGTGCTTCGCGACGTCGGGCGCGAGGGGGTCGTCCGGGTTGGGCGCACTGAGGAGCGCCTGGACGGAGAGAAGGACTGTACGGATTTGCAGAGCTGGCGACCATTTGTCTGTCGCGTCTTGGTGAGCGCAGTCAGAAGTAGAAGCGGGGAGCACGCACCTTTCAGGATGTCCAGACAGATCCGACCAAGCTTGTCTGAAGGGCCCGAGAGTCAGCTTGATGACCACGTAGTGAGACGCCCGATGGGCGCCAAAGGCTCACCGATATTAGGGTGGTATATCTTGGTGAGGAACCGGACTTTCGGGGGTGCCATCGGATACTCTTCTGGTAAAAAGAGCTCGAGCTTGAATATCCCCTCTGAAACAAAAGCACGTTAGCCTCGGAGGTTACAAGAGCGGAGGATTGCCTGGGGCTCGCAAGGCATAGCTGAACGGGATCCGTGGACGATGGACGGGGAAAGCAGGGACGTAAAGGAAGATGGAGAAAGAGCACGTACGCTGGAATGGGCTGCCATCGGGGCCCTGGATCGTCACATCGAAATACCGGAGGTTATCGTCGTGCGGCGCAGCCGTTATGCCAGGTGCGGGGTCTGCGACCAGCCGCTCGGTTTCCTGGGAGTCGCTGGCCTCAAAAGCTGGTCGTAACTGTGCAAGCGACTGAGAGCACCTTGATTATACGCTAATCCGATAAGAACGACGGGCGCTTGCATGAGTCCAGAGGAAGCGTCAGAGCATGGCATGCAAGGGACTTGCCTTGGGGAGAGCCATGGGGAGTATAGCAGGAGGAGGGTGCGGGAGGAGGAGGAGGGAGACGACAGAATTCGGAGGTAGGTGCTTTGTCAGCACTCTTTGTTCCGAGCCACCACTGACTCGTCCGCGCCTCTCAATTCTTGCACTACATCCAGGCTTTATCGCCTCCCGCAGGTCGGATATGGTGTAGTGGTAACACGTCTCTAGATGGTTCCGAAGGGCAACAAAAATTTACACAGGGATGTCCGGAGTTCGATTCTCCGTATCTGTTCTGCTATTTTTCTTCGCTGGAGTTAAGCTTTCCTGGATAATAACTTCTCGGACCCTTGGAGCCCTGGATCTATTTTGTAATACCACCTTCCCGCGACATCCGAGGACACTCTCCAGTCATGAAGGGTGGATAGGCTCTTTTACCGCACAAGCTCTCGTATAGTACGAGCCAATAAAGTAGCCTGGACTCTGTCGGCTTCCCCTACATCGGATTGGAAACACCGTCCGTTCGTTAATTTGGATGACGATCGTCGCCTTGAAATCAGGGAGCCCTCTCTAGACTCCACGGTCGGTTCTTGCGCACTGCATTAAACGCTGATTAATGAGATACAACCAGACCTAGAGACCAGTTCGCCTGAACAATACCCTGCAACAATCTCGACTGACACTGGCATAAGCCAATACTCTGTTTTGGACCGGTTTATCATCTACTGGGCTGGTACTACTGGTACTTCTACTCAATTGTATGCTAAGCCATACAATCAACATATCGTCGGTTCGATGACTCACCAAAAAGAAAAGGACGTCCACGACATGAAAACATGTCATCAACGTTCGTTCTGACAGCTTCATGAAACTGGTCGCCGCCTTGAAACTGATCGAACAAGGCAAAATTGAACCCGATACGTAGGTCAAGCAGAGCTCGCCAACCCCGGTGTAACCGATACGACAATGCTGGGAAGCCCCTTACTACACCCGCGAAATTAAAGAGTATTTTCGGCCAGCTTCGCAACCACATCAGTGCTCTCGACTACGGATAATATGGCCCTGGCAGCCATCAGGCGTCATGTCTTGCTTGTATGTATTCAATTGCAATTCAGGGCTCTCTGACGCGACGACCACTGAGACTCGACTCGGAGCAGGTAGCACACTGTAAGCATCATTTCGCCGTAATTTAAGGAACTTGTGACGCCTGCAGTCCTCTTCATATTGTGCTGGATTCATTCATCATGGAACGGCAAGTCCCTTGAGTATATGACATTAGATATGACCCTTGAACGCTTTCCGGCCATGGTTGAAATCGTTTTTGGCATGTCGAGGGCTGCACAGTTAGGCCGCGATGCTTTAAATCCGGTAACTGGTCTAGATATTCATAAACATTGCGGATGCCAAGAAGAACTCGTGTGCTTCAAGCTTGTGGGTGCTCCAGAACACTCGTTGGCAAGTTCTTACCTAAAAACGAGGGGACGCGTCTGACAGAATTGGATTCTTTATCGATCCGACATCTGGAGCGACAGCTTTACTTCACACAAGTAGAACCTTATGGTGATGAGAATAGACCAGTAACTGTCTGTCTATGGAGGCAAGCCTATCTATCGACAAGCTTGCTTTCATGGCTGGATTCGAGCCTATGATGAGAAATATGTGCCGGTGTATGCCGAGCTAGCCAGCTGGGAAGCTGTGTTCGGATTTGACGTCCTCGTTTTAATCCCCATTAAATTTGGGAGACATCTTGCGCTGCGACTTATAGATGGGACAGCACAAGCTTTGTAGATATAATTGCCAAAAGCAGGTGATGGACTCGGTGTGGGAATCGGATAAACCATCTTCCAACCTTATCTCAATCGCATCTTTGAGTGTTATCGACTCTCAAAGTTACTCGCTCGGACAATGGCAACGTTTTCCGAAAGCTCATACGATTCTGGAAGCTATGCCACGGCGAGGCCAACTTATCCACGCCTTCTCTACGACGTTGTCTTGCAATTCCACAAAAAGGGACAGACGACTGGCAGCACGAACAGGTGGGATCGTGCCGTCGACCTTGGCTGTGGTACAGGTATGTTGTACCAACTCTACACCAGCCTACAGATTAATTTACCATTTTCTAGGACAGGCGACAGTTCAGCTACTGGCCAGTACGTCCGAACGACTTCTTTTTCCTATACGACCAACTCACATATTTTCTACGTTCCAGCCGACGAACATGTGGGGTTCCAGAGCGTAATAGCCGTTGATCCCAGCCCCAACATGGTTCAAGTCGCGAAAGAGTCTGTACCGGAGGAATTCAAATCCCGCGTGGAGTTCCGGCAATCTGCTGCAGAGGAACTTGGTTTCATCGAGGATGGCACTGTCGATCTAGTCACTGCAGGTAGGCGTTTCGCTGATCGCGTCGAACTGGACGCTCAAAGCAGCAGCCCAATCCGCCCATTGGTTCGACTGGACCCGAGCGTGGACGGAATTTCAGCGAATCTTGAAACCTGGCGGAACGTTGGCATTCTGGGTGAGCTTCTCAGATCCTTGTCGTGAATATTCATGTTTTCCCTGATAATCGATCGTCAGGGATACTCAGATATCCGGCTGACGCGGCACCCCGAGCTCACCCCGCTCATCTCCGCATATTCGCAGGGCGCAGATCCCGCAACGTCCCTCGGACCGCATTGGGAGGCTGGGCGCAAGATCCTCGACAATCACTTCGTCGACGTCGAAGCCCCCGAGGCTGGTTGGGCAGACCTGACGCGCGTCTTCTACACGGGGACGCACTACCCCGCGTTGCCCGCGCCGCCGCACGAGGACGTGATTATCAAAAAGACCATGACCTGGGGCGGGGGCTTCGCCGGTTACCTGAACACATACAGCTCGCTGCACCGCTATCACGACGCGTTTCCAGAGGACCTCAAACGCCTCGACGGGGATATCGCAACGCGGTTTCGGCGGAGGCTGATGGAGGGCACCGGGATTCCCGCTGACGCCGACGAGACCCTTGTGGAGGTTGAATGGCCCCTTGCACTGGTCATGGTACGCAAGACGTAAGATGTGTTTTTTAGTTTTTATTTTCGCCCCAACTTCGTCCTCATTCGTCCTCTGCAGTTGAGTGACAATCATGCATTCCGCCCAGCCAAGATGCGATTGGCTGGTATTAATAACTCTGTGCTATATGTACCCATGAGGCGCGATACTTAATATGCTCACTCGTTTTCTCTCGTCCGCCGATATCCGGAATCTGATGCATATACATGTCACCACCGGCGTGAATGACCCTTCAGATTCCACTCATTCTGAGCTTGTCCTGGCCCCAGTCGTACAATGACCGCAATAAATCTCAAACCGGCAATGCTTATAATTGCAATCAGGTGCATCAAGGGCACACTCTTGATTCCAAAATGGGTTACAGCGTGGATCGCGTGTTCTAAGTTACCGTTTCCATGGCTGGGGACGTCGCACGCAATCAGATCGCACAAATGATCAGACCCGACCGGTTGGACCATACTTATGCAATTAACTCGGGGGGAATTCCAGCTCAGGCTGACTCCTGGCGTCTGGCTCGCTGGAATCCAGCCTGGCCAGCTTAAAACAATGGCAGAGACCTTCCGTGGATGCCAAGAAAACCTACATACGGCGGGAGGAGGAATTCAATTAAACGGAATCAGGAACCTTGCGAAGGGGTCAAATCATTTGTTTCCAAACATACGGATCCTGTCATCGCAAAATCCTATTATAGCAATCTGATCCGGTCCTCAACATTGCTTTAAAGCATGTGCTGGATAACCGCACGAATTAGTCCCTCCCCGTTTTTCGTTCCCGTCATTCTTCACCTCTTCCCTTAGGACCGGTTCCTTTTTCTCGGTTTACGCCCACAATACTCATACCACGTTCTTTACACCACCACCATGATCTTCACCAACAGATCCGCCCTTGCGTGTGCCTCGGTTTTCCTCGCGCTAGCCGCACAGACATCCGCACACGCGATACCCAGGTGCGTTTGGGAGTTTATGAGCGTGCGGCTATGGGCTTGAACGAGGGATTATTTTTTCTAGCCCTGCCCTTGGTGTTAAAGGCGCGCCGGCGCGGAGCGACGTGCAGCGTCCGTCCACCGCGAAGCCGTGTGGTACCATCAACCCCGCAACGACGATTGATACGTCCACCGCCATCCCTGTCGCCGCAGACGGGACTGTGACCATGAATGTTGTTAACTGTGCGTCCGTCTCTTTTTCCTGTTGAATGTCACGCTAAGAATGTTGTTGGAATCCAGTCAACGCGTAAATATTTCCTTCGCTGTTTTTACTGGTCGGAATTAACATGCTTTTGGCGATGCAGTGGAGCCGACGGAAGCACGTCCGTGTCAGTCCAGGTTGACGCCAGCGGTGTGGGAAACAAATTCGTGGCAGGAACTGTCAAGACGAACGGGAACGCGGTGGGTATTATGAGTGATTTGAATCAACTAACCACTCACGCCGCATTTATAGAAACCCAGCAAGGTCGAGACGGACAAGGTCGTATTCACGTGAGTCTCTGCAATCCGCGCTTCGAAAAGCCAACCTAATTGTTGTTAGTCTCCCTGCCGGGACCAAATGCGTTGGCGGAAAGGCCAAGAACCTGTGTCTCGTCGTGCGTCCTTTTCTTTTTTTTTTTGGTTCTGTAATAATTCTCGTTCAGTCTGTTAAAACCACCGCTGGATTCGGAGCGTGCACTGTCGTCTCCCAGGGCGCCGCCGCCGCCGCCGCCCCGCCGAAAGCTGCCACCCCCGCCGCCGTGAAGACCACCGCGAAACCGACTGCAGCAGCTGCGAAAACAACTGTAGCAGCCGCGAAAACAACTGCGAAGGCCGCCACCACCGTTGCAAAAACCACCGCGGCCGCGGCTAAAGTTACGAAGTCTGTTGCGGCGGCCAAGTCGACGGCGTCCTCTGCATGCAAATCGAACAAGGGAACGACTAACAAAGCTGGCGCAGCGAAGACCACGTCGAAGGCTGGGAAGAAGGGCAAGAAGCACCACCACCACAAGGGCAAGGGCAAGGGCAAGAAGGCCGCGACCAAGGCTGCGCCCCAGGCTGCTAAGGGTGCGTTCCCCGCCCACTGACAAGTGTTGCCTTCTGAACACCCGTTAACAGCCACTGCGACCGCTGCCGCCAAGAAGACTCGCGAGGAGGAGACATGGGTACGCGAGATAATCGAGGAGATCGAGGCTGAGATGGAGCGCCGCGCCCTCGAGTAAACGTCACGACCCCACGAGCTGAGAACGAGGTATTTGATTCGAGTATTTATCTGTATACCCAGAGAAGTG